AGGGTGCTGGGAGCTACCAGAGCAAAGTGAATGCAGGGGCTGCACTCACCCACCACCCATTAAGAACTGCCAGGTGAGCTCACGCCTCATTCACAGGTGCAGCCCCATCACACACGGACATCCTACAGGCAGATGGTAGGAAGCATCAAGGCTCCCAAGCACCATCAGCTCAGACAACTGCGGATGGAGAACAGCAACTTTTCAATTCCATCTGCTCCTTTTTGTCACCTTCTGTACTCAGAAACACATTCATCAGAAGCACAAGCATGCTGGGACAGTGACAAATTTTACCATCTCTGGCTTGTCACTTTAACAGGATTAGATTATTTTAGTATTAATTCATTACCCAATTTAATTCCAATTAGTAACATTTTTACAAGACACTGACATAGCTGTGATGCTGGAGACAGCCATTGCTTAGCACACAATGTAGCATCTCTAGTCAGGTCAAATATCAGCCATGCAGTGAGATTCCCCTGTACCCATCAAGGAGCCCTTTTCCCTACTTTACCAACAGAAAAAAAACACAAGCTGTTCAGACTGATGACTAGCTTTCGTTTTTCATGGAATTATAGCTTAAGGAAAATAGCTCACTTCCAAAATTCTCCACAGACAGAGGAAGTCAGTCGATTTCCCCACCTTCCTTTCTGGCAGGGGTGTCAGTCTCTCTCTCAGTAGAAAGAACACTAAAAGCACTTTTCCTCTTATGGGGAGAGGCTGGGTGAAAGAAAGGAGTGCACCACCATACCTATGGGATAGCAATAAATCATGAAAGCAAGTGGAAAATCTGCATTACTGCATTTTGCAGTCAGGAACAGGCTATTCATATTCCTATCTCTGAGCACGTCACCTCTGAGATAAGATCACAAATGGAAACAATCAGCACTATTCTACCCATGCTCCACTCCAAGAGACAAGTATTGCATCCATCAGCTCCCCACCAGCTGCTACTGCCACCTACCTATTTGCTTGCAGACCAAACTCCATCTTTAGCAATGCCAAAAAAAACCAACCCAGAGGCCCAACCCAGAGCACCAAACAAGACAAAAAAAAAAAAGGAACATCTAAACAGAACTGCCCTGGAGCAAAGCAGGAAATAAAGATATGGATCAGAAGGGGAAAAAAAAGCAGAGATGCAGCCTGAAATACAGAAAGGTATAAGGGAAAAAAAGCAATACGAGCACAAGAAAGAAATGTAATACTGGAACAGATTCCAAATCTGGGCAGTGATTCTCTGCACCACCTTCCTAAAGCTGTTGCAATCTGCATCCCTGTTTGAGGCAGGAGGACTGAGAAACGCTCCCAGATGGCAGCCTGACCTTGGTGCACACTGCTGTTACACAACCCAGACCTGCGGAGGCACTGGGAGAGAAACAAAACACCCGTAAAGTTACAGCCCATTCCCTTAATGGGGCTGCCACAGATCTGCCCCATTAATACTGCACAAGCCCGCGTGCAGTTTTTATACTTTGAAAAAGGACAGAAAGTTGTTATAGCTCACGTTGTCCAAACCTCTCCTTTGCAATAGCACTGGTACCCATTTTAATAGAGACTATTACTGCATAAATGAGAAAAGGACCACTGAACTACGTGGCAAGTTGCCAGCTTGTGCTGCAGCCTCCAGTGGTTATGCTCAAAAAGATTTAAAGTCCAGCATAACCTTGATTTTTAATAGAGTCACATTTAATGAGCTTTAACGTCCACAATAATAATTTCCTTATTACCTATCCAGGAGTTGGAACCACAATCAGAAAAAAAACGTGCTGCACTCCGGTCCAATGAATGAATTTAATAATGGCCAATACATTATTATCAAAACCATCAGCATCACAGTCCTTAATGCCTTTTTTGGTTGGTGTAATTATAATCCTTTGTACCTGAAGTGCAATTGTTGCAGTTCACATAAGCATGCTGAACAGAGCAAACCTGACTGGCTGCAGGCCACCCAAATTCCTCATTTGTGCCAACAAGCTATTCAGGGTGTGCAGCAGAACAGGACGATAAAATCTTACATTTACCTCTAACTGTCAGGAGGCAAAAATGCAAACTTAGAGATGACCTTTGCTGTCTTCCTCCTTTTATCTACTCTTCCTACTCATGAGTTCAGCCCTTGGTCTCCCTGCACTCCGTGCAGCACTGAGATGTCTCCTCCTTCACGAGTTCAGAGCTGGGTGTTTGCCTCTTGCATGCACCAAATGAGTCAGATGCATACACAGCTATACAGGTATTGCAGTTGATGAAACAGGATGCAAAAAAAAAAAAATACTGATTTCTCCTCATTTTGTCCAGAAACAATTCCCCAAACCTCCTTGAAAACCGCTCCCCTGTTATGCGCAATAAAGCTCACTCCCAAAGGCAGCCAACTGCACAATGACAAACAGAGCAGAGGAGCTTCTGCCACCAGCTCCTCATTTCACACCTTAAAAATACACTGAAATAGAAGGCACATGGCAGTTCTCCACTGCTACCATTCCTGTGGGCAGAGCTGCTGAGATCCTAAGACAACAGTGAAAGCTACATCTTGCACTTCTTTTCCTAAGGAAGACAATCTAAGCTTTCTAGCCATGAGGATCCATGCTGTTATTAAACCAGCTGTCACGTCCACACCGCAATCGCAGCAAGAGCTACTAAGCAGGACAGAATCAATGCAGAGATAGATGCAGCTTGCACAGCATGCTTGAGGAGCTCTGCCCTGCCCCAGCAAGGCAGCCAAAGCTAGCATTCCAACTTAAAGGCAGCTCAGATATGCCATGCAGACTTGTAATCACAGTGCCATAACATCCCCATTCCCTTGAACATCCTCACTAACACACATGGGATCTTAACATCAGACCATACTGCTGAATGCTCCCTGCACAGGAAAGGATGGTTTAGGATTGTTTATAGCAACCACAGTGATGAACACAAGCACATAAGAAAAACAATCAAGATCCTTCTATATAACCAGATGTCTAAAACAGTCATCCACAGGGCTCCTCCATCCTTCACCTACAGCTTTTTTTCCCTTCATAAAACACTTCCATAAGCACTTAGAGGCACTTAGAGAATACAGAGGGCCCTCCTGTGCCCATGGTAAGTGATGGCAAGAGACTGTCACCTAAGTATTTCTGACCCTGCTAGGTTCTGCAACCAATGCTCTTCCCCAGCTTAACTGGAGTCAGAATGACATAGCACAGGACTGGGGCAACAGGGAAAAAAAAAACACACCATATATAGGAGAAGCTGGAAATACACTGACACCCAGGGAGCTGTTTGTTTTCCTGTCAGAATCAAAGGCAAAAAGAGAAAGCAGCTTTAAAAATGAATCCCTTATGAGCTAAAGACAAACCTGGTAACATCCCAGCATAGAAATGCCTCGTGAACAGCTAAAAGCAACTGCATGAAAGGCAGCAGAATAATTATGAATAACAAATCACAGAAGGCATACGTGAGCAACACACTCCCCGAGAAGAAATGGTCTAATTACTGCAGATGATACCCCAGAGGCTCATTCATCAGCTGCAGAGACACAGAGCTGACCTCACCTCTGCAGTCTCTGCCCCTGACCATCACTCTCCATGCAGGGCTCAGGGGCAGTGCCAGCTGTGGGCTCTGCAGTATCAGCTGTGCCAGCCACAGTGACAGGCAAGGGCACCGAGCAGCCACAACCACTGTAATTTAAACACCAGTGAAATTTCAAATGCAGATTGTAAGGTAAACACTATCCCTGAGAAGTGCTCATCTCCCACTGGGACCTTAGACTGGAAGCTCTTACAGGCAAAGATGGCCTTCCTTAAGCATTTGGAAAGTGGATGCTTATGCATCTGTCAGAGCATCCACAAAGAAGTGACAAACCATCACTGTACCTCTAGCACATCTTCAGCTCTCCATTTTAAAAACACCCCATCTGTACTTCTCACCACCATACTTTCTAAGACTATATGCTAGCATATTCTACTATGAGACTGAAACAGTCTTAACAGGAATAAAGTACTTTTGTTTCAGCAGTGGAAAGACAAGCAAGCTGCTTTCAGAGCATTTTTGTGTCATAGCAGTGAAAGATGTTTTGTTGTGAGGTTTTTTTTTTCAGCCAGGGTTCTGCCTCTATGGGGGTCTCAAGTCTCTGACACACGTGGCTCAAGAGGAAAGCTCTGCCCTCTTCACTACATCTGAGGGAGCACTCTGACCTCCAGATACATCCCATGTACATGCTGCTGGAGCACATCAGGTCAGCTCCTCACAGCTCTTACATTTCTCTTCTCTAACAAAACGTTTTGAGGGCAGAGCATATGTGAGAGAATTACAGCAGTAAGGTCTCTTGGGCTCTGCAGCACAACTCGACTCAGCTCAGCCACCTCACAGTCTTGTAGGTGATGGGTTACATTTTTTTGATATCCTTACCTTGATTTACAGAGTCTGAGAGCACGTCTGGAGGCGTTGACTTTGGGGTTACTGTACTAAAAAGGCTCACACACACTTGTGAAGGGAAGACAGACTGTACTGGAGGAGAGCCACACATTTTTGTGAAGTGTATTTAGCTCAGTGAAAGATGTATTCTATTTTCATGGAGTATCGAATGTAACTGTGATTAATGGGCCACATATACACTGATAAACAATATTAATTTGTTTTAAGCCAGGTCTGAAAAGATTTCAACCACTTGCTCCCCTGCAGCTATGAAAGTTATTTCCTGCTGTTTGTACTACCTCAAAGGCTAGAGCAGCCCTGAAAGGAAGGAAATATTTCCTTTTACTCTATTGGCAGCACCAGCATGAGAAAGCTGCTATGCCGGTATTTCATTTCTCATCAGCAAATGATATGGATTATTATTGTTCATCCCCTGTATCAACCTGCCATTGGATTGCTACCACACACCTCCTGCACCAGCCCCACTTCTCTTCATTTTCCTCATAACCACCCCAGCAAGCACACAGTCTGCAACATCTCCATCTGCTTTGGCAGTCAGTTCCTCTGGCAATACGGATGAATAAGATCTTCATGCCTAGAAGCCAACAGCCTACCTGCAACTTCCTGTGGCGACTGAAAGCTCCCAACTCCTTCCAGATTCCCATGGATGGAGCCGCCGGCTTCAAGCACCCTCACCAGCTCCCTCAGCCTCTCACACTCCTCCTGCAGCTGCTGCTGCTCCTCCTTGCGCTGCTGCTTGGCCAGGCTCGCGGGGTTCATGCTGAAATGAAGCACTTTGGTTTTGCTGGGGTCATAGTCACCCTGCGTGTTAAAAACAACAGAAATAAACTGAGTAACAGATCCCAACTCCAAGACCACCCAACCACACTGCTCTTCGTATGAAGATGAAAAAAATTACAGCATAACGCGTGACACTTATGCAGTAATAATGTGTTATTCCAACAGCCCAGACCAGCTGAGAGGATTGCCTCTCTTCCTCTCACTACTCTGGGAAGAAGAAAAACCCACAACCTTCCACAGAGCTTGCTCCTTGGCTGACACCTCCATTGTTAAATTTAACTCCAGAAATGAAGTTTTATAGCTGTATTTTAAATCTCTTGATAGGAGATTATAATGAACATGCAAATGCATACTTAAACTACAGCAGGACACCCAGTGCCAGCCTAATTTATTACCAGTACGAGCCAGCAACATCCATATGACTGCAGTGGTGGAGTCATTAGCAAGTTGTATCAGCTCACCCCAAGCAAGTCAAAAGATATTTCATTTTACACTTCTCTTTTCTCAGAGGTTAGTTGCATTTATAGCAGTTTAAACAGTCAAGTTCTAAGACAGCAGATTAATATTTCTTCCAAGTGAGAGGAAAACACTGATGTTATATTTGTGATTTCAGAGAGACAATTTTCACAGAAACTATGGGAAGCCTCACAACCATAAAAGTAGTAAAACATATGCTAATCTTGGCTTCCCCAGCACTCTGAAATCCTATTGCACTGCCTGTATAAAAAGGTATTTTATATGGTAATATATTTCCTTCAATTAAATCTCAGGACCTGAAGTGATTTTGTAAACATTAATTAACCATCAAGAGCAGCACGAGGCAGGTATTATCCCAATTCCATCATTTAATTTTCATAAATAATGCGCTAGAAAGATTCGTGTTTTTTGGGGGGCAAACCAAAGCAGAGACTGAGCAACTTCACTCTAAATGCTGCTGGTGGCAGATCCCACACTGCTCTGCTAACAAACACCTTCTGCAACCATTTAAAACGTACCAGAAGGGCAGCACAGACAAGCTCGTGCTCTCACCAAAACGAGGAGATGGTATTTGTTCATCCCAGCAAAGAGTGGGTGTGAAGCACTGCTAACACAAGAGGACTCGGGAACTTTGGGCTAACTCACTACAGAGCTGGGAAAACAAGGCACAGAGAGCCAAGGCCTCCTTCCAGCTGGGTGTTCCCACCATCACTGCAGTGCTGTTCGTGCCCTATCTCACACCTGGTGGTGACACCTCTCGCACCACCTCAGGCCCTGTGGTGCTCAGGACATGGCGGGGGGGCAGCGCTGGACCTGCAGGCCCACAGAAATGGGGCTTTGTGACCTCATTTCCATGACCTCACTTCCATGGAGAGGAAGAGACAAATAAGCCAGCAGGACCGAGAGCGCGCATCATCCCACTGACAGCTTCAGCCTGAAGATACTGAGATGGGAACTGAAGGAGATGGACCTCAAGCAGCAGCCCCAAAATATTTAACAGAGGGAACGCAAAGTCTATCAGACCCACTCTTCCCAGCAAGACACTGGCATTTACAAAGCAGTTCCCACTGCAGGCAGCCTAACACCTGGTGCTATTTGCCTTTCAGGGCTCTCCCCCCTCACACTGTCACAGCAGGGCCAGGGCACTCCTTACCCTCATTTGCCTTTCAAGAGAACAGGTTCAAACCCAAAGTTTGTGGTGCTGTTTACAGTGGTTTGAAAAACGACACTCAGAGCTGCAGAGCAAGGCTGCACCACCACAGTGTCAGGCAGAGATCTTTCCTTGGCTCAAGCAGGGAGCACGGCGATCTCACACTGCACCAGCACTGCAGAAACCCGCATGTATCAAAGAGACACAGAGCAGCAGGATCCAGGAGGGAAGGAAAACCCTACAAACTCAGACTGCTGTTCCCTTCCCTGCTGAGACTGCTTTAACATGTGCAGCACCAGCCTATTTGTTTTGCTGGTTATTTACTCTTAAAATATCTCTCTGGCCTTTCTACAAAGTGCTGCCAAGAAGCTGCACTGCTTTGTCTTTCTGAGCTTCTTCAGTCTATTTATCCTCTCCCTTTAAAACATGCACTCTTGGAAAATCATGCTCAGAAACTCAGTTCTAAAGCTCACCCTCGTTTCCAGTGCTCTCCAGCCCTTCTGAGCGTGTCCATCTGAAGCTACACTGAGACAGGCAAATCTCTTAAAAACCCTCTGTGATATGAAGGCTGTATTTGAGGGCTATGGTACAATGCATCTCATTTAACATTTCTGGGAGATCACTAATACATTTGCTATGCTACTCACACTTCTGGGCTAGGGGCAGTAGCTTTCTCTTTATTCCACACAGCACAGATCAAACTAGCACATTTCTCCCTACAGCTAAAATATTAGTGCTGCTGGTTTATATTATAGTAATGCCTAAAGAAACCAAGTGAGACAGGGATCCCAGCGAGCTAGGTACCGTGCAAACCCCAGGAGAGATTGCCATTGAAAGCCCAACAACAGAGCACGAAGATGCAATACCCGAGGGGAGGAGGGGGTACAGGAGCAGCCTCCTGTTCAAGGCCCCCTGGCATCACCGTGGCAGCAATGAATGGAGAACACAAACTCACAGATGACCCTCGAGACCATCCTGCTGCCCTACACAGCTGAACCAAGCACAGTGCTCCTTAAGCCTCTGCAAAAATTACTGACATCACAGAGTTTCAAACAAATGCAGGAAGCTTTCCATAGAAATGGTGTACAGTAGAGCTTCAGATGGAAGGGATCAGATGCACATGTACATAATGCCAGACAACAGAAGTGGCATTACAACTCCTAATGTTTAGAGTGTTCTTCCAAACTTCTGAAGGTTGGGAGTGACTCAGGTTTGCTCTGGGAAGAGTCACAGCTGGAAAATGCTCAACAGAGCAGGCAGCAAAGCAGCATTACAATCACACAAGCATTTGAAGGAAATGAAACCCTACTACTGGTAAGAAACCTGAGAATGAAGAAAGCAAACATCCTCCTCCTCCTAGGATCCTTTTAGCTCTGGAAAAAACAAAATGTAGATAGCTGGTTTTCTTCATCAAATGCCTTTCCATCCATAATACATTAAGTCTTACTGATGGGAATTTCATCCCTTCAGCTCCGCAATGGAAGCCTGGAAAATGGTGTTGCAGGCACTGGGAGAACTAAAACATTTTTCTGCTTAGAATATTGTTTCTAGTCTAGGAGGCAGAACAAACAGTGGCATTTGAAAGGCATCATGGAGAAGGGACTCTGCCAAGCACAAGGCTCTTTGAGCAGGAGCTGGAAATCCCAAAGCAACTGCTCAAGAGCAGCTCCAGCTGCTGCTGCCATGCTAAACCAGCACAGACAAGGAGTAAGGTAAAAAAAAAAAAAAAAAAGCATCTCACAATGCACTGTAATACACACTGAGTTTTTCCAAGAGGTGTGAAATGCATGCTCCAAGTGTGGCCTGAACATCAGAACCATCCAAATCCACTTATGATCGAGGTGGCTACATATAGAAGCACAAAACATTTTAGGGATGGAACCTAATATGAGCCGTAGGCAAACTCCTTGGGGGGATATAACAGTAAAGCACTGCCCTTTCCCTGGCTCATTCAGAAATACCTCAGTAGGCTGTTCTGCTCATCGCACATTGTGGCCAGTTTTCAGAGAGCAAAAATAACTACTACTGGATTCCCAGCACAGCCCACCCTTTACCCCTCTTTTGCCCAATATTTAAAAATTTGGCAATAGATGTAGAGATGCTGAAGAGTAAATAACTCCAACTAGAGAGAACTGCTGGCATTCATTGATTCTTCTTTCAAGGAATAACAGCGAGCCAGTAATTCAGATTTGTCAGAAAAATGTACACAGAGTTTCCATTTAGAAGGAAGCAATAAATATCTTGATTGATTGCAACCAAGCCTGGTTGACGCTTGGCAGTACAGTGAATTATTCATTCCTGGAAAGTAAGATGCTAACTAGCTGATTTGGTGCTTAAGACAGCAAAAGCATTTCCGTGCTCTCAGAAGAGCACTGGACATCTCACAAAGAAGATTTGTTGACTCCACATGTTAATGTTCTACATTTTGTGAAATCACATTGCTTTGCACCCAAGACGTGCCCTAGGACACACACACACAAAATCTCACACTCCCAACACTGAGAAACACCATCCCACCACTTCTGATCAGACATCATGTGAGACAGACAAAAGCAGATACACCATAAAAGCACTGCCTTAATGCAGCATGTTCCAGGCACACCCTAGGACATGGAACAAAAATTCTCTAAGATCAGGGCTACCAATAAGCTTTCTGACAAAAAACTACGGAAAAAAAGGCTTGCACCAGGGTCGATTTGCCATCTAGAACAGACATACAAAGCCGAGTCAGATGGTACTGCTCTTCCTCCTGCTTCCTTCTCCCAGTTCAGAAACAAACAATACCTTGAAAAGATAATGATGCAGATGCCGTGTGTTGTTTTTTAAACTTATATTATCAACAAACAGTCAGTATGTTGGTGTACCTGCTAGAATTATAGCACAAAAACTTCCCTGGTAATCTTCCCATTAGGGAAGAGTCAGTCAAGTGACAAAACGATGAATGAAGACAGGATTGCTTTAATCTCTGAAAAACAGAAACTTTTTCCTTAGAAGAGTAGATGTTCAGAAGAACAATGAGAGCTGCCAGTGACAGCATCTTGAAAAGGGCTGAGCTTCATCTGGCATCTCTCCTTGTGACTGCTTGAGAATCCTGATTCAGGGATGTCTTTCTCAAGGAGCTACAAAAGCTTTCGCTTTCACAGGCCCACAGGTAAGAACGAAGTACTTAAAACCACACTGACTGCTTTTCATTTGATGAAACATTCAGTGCTTAACAATTTCGTTTAGGATCTATTCATCTACTGCAGATTTTCCTCGTCAGAAGGAGGAACTGCTGGCCAAAGGAACAGCCTCCATCACCGAGAGTATGTTCATCTAACATCGCTAATGAGATTAAAGAAGTTCATACATCCCAAGCAGGCAATGACTGTCACTGACAGCAAGCACTATCAAG